CTGCCTGGGGGGGGGCGGTACGGCTCCAGCCAGCGCCAGTGGCCACTCCCAGGCTCTGCAGCCCGGCAGCGCCGGGCGGCTGCAGGGTCCCGCGGGTGCCTCCTGCTCACGCCGTCTCTCCTGTCCCAGCGGGAGGTGGAGATCCTCATGTTCCTCAGCGCCATCGTGATGATGAAGAACCGACGCTCCAGTGAGTTGGGGCGTGTGCTGTGAGGTGGGCGCGGGGGGCCGCGGGGCTGCTTATGGGGCCAAGGAGCTGGATGGGTTGGGATCCCGCGGGTGCCTCCTGCTCACGCCGTCTCTCCTGTCCCAGCGGGAGGTGGAGATCCTCATGTTCCTCAGCGCCATCGTGATGATGAAGAACCGACGCTCCAGTGAGTTGGGGCCTGTGCTGTGAGGTGGGCGCGGGGGGCCGCGGGGCTGCTTATGGGGCCAAGGAGCTGGATGGGTTGGGATCTGGAGGACTGGATCTGGCCCTCCCTCGGGATCCCCCCCTGGTCTTCTGGGGGGATCTGGCCCCGTCTCCTATCCCTCTCTCCCTTCCCCAGTCACCGTGGAGCAGCACATCGGGAACATCTTCATGTTCAGCAAAGTGGCAAACGCCATCCTCTTCTTCCGCCTCGACGTCCGCATGGGCCTGCTCTACCTCACGCTCTGCATAGGTGAGACCTGCTGGGGGGGATCCCATAGCACCGGGGGCAGTGGCGGTGCCTCCGTGCCACGGCTCGACCGTTCCCCAGCACCCGCTGTCCCTACCTGTCCTCCACGCCACCCGGCTGGAAGGGCCAGAGCTCCCTCTTGTCGTGGGGTTGACCTGTGGCCTTCGTTGCCGGAGGAGGCTGCGGGTGTGAGGAGTCTCCGTGGGCTCAGGGGGCAGCGGCGGGCAAGGCGGGGCTCAGGAAGCGCCTTGAGGGGGAGCCCTGCCTGCCCCAGTGCTCGCTCTGCCTCCGTTCCCCCGGGCTGCTCTGGGGAAGGAGGACCCTCATCCCAAACCCAGCCTGGGCCTTCCAGGCGCTGGGGGGGCTCAGGGGTGCTGTCGTTGCAGTGTTCCTCATGACCTGCAAGCCCCCCCTCTACATGGGCCCTGAGTACATCAAGTATTTCAGCGACAAGACCATAGACGTGAGTATCCCCTCCCCGGGGGGTGCCGGGGGGCTCTGCCTGCCATCCCCCGCTGAGCCCCACGCCCCTGCGGCAGGAGGAGCTGGAGCGGGACAAGCGGGTGACCTGGATCGTCGAGTTCTTCGCCAACTGGTCCAGCGAGTGCCAGTCCTTCGCCCCCATCTTCGCCGACCTCTCTCTCAAGTGAGTGGCGCCCGCCGGGGGCCTCGGCGAGTCGCGGGGCTGGGGCCAGGGCTTGCTCCCAGCGCTGTGGTCGCCCGCAGCACTCGCGGCCGTGTGTCCCCATCCTCCCCAGGTACAACTGCTCGGGGCTGCACTTCGGGAAGGTGGACGTCGGCCGGTACACGGACGTCAGCACCAGGTCTGGGGGGAGACGGCCTGGGCAGCAGGGCCCGTGCCAGGGCAGAGTCCCTGGGAGCCCCCCCGGCCCCCCTTCAGCTGCCTGGGGGTCACTGTTGGCCTCTCCCCCTCCTGCCACAGGTACAAGGTCAGCACCTCGCCCCTCACCAAGCAGCTGCCCACCCTCATCCTCTTCCAGGGCGGGGCAGAGACCATGCGCCGGCCGCAGATCGACAAGAAGGGCCGGGCGGTGTCCTGGACCTTCTCCGAGGTGGGTGAGACGTTCCAGCCCTCTGCCCCTCCCCCCCCCCCGGGGGGGGGGGGGGCGCGGAGCCCGGCTCGGGCCCCGGGGGAAGGGGCCGCAGGCGTCCCCGGGGGTGCCGACGCTGCCTCTCGGCCACAGGAGAACGTGATCCGGGAGTTCAACCTCAACGAGCTCTACCAGAAGGCCAAGAAGCAGTCGAAGCCGCGGGAGGAGGGGCCCGAGGAGCCCCCCGGGTGCCTCTCGGCCACAGGAGAACGTGATCCGGGAGTTCAACCTCAACGAGCTCTACCAGAAGGCCAAGAAGCAGTCGAAGCCGCGGGAGGAGGGGCCCGAGGAGCCCCCCGGGCCGCAGGCAGCTGCCCCCCACCCTGACGGGGAGCCCAAGAAGGACAAGTAGAAGCTGCCCTGTGCTGTCACCCATTGCCACGTCACCGCCACGCTGGTGGCACCGGCCCCACGGGGTCTGCCCGTGCTCCCGGCCGAGCCCTGGGTGAGCAGGGGAGCCCCCACGGCCCCCCTGTGGGCGGGGCCACGCAGGGCAGTAGGACAGACCCCGCCCTCGGTTAACGCTCATCCTCATCGCTGACAATAAAGTGTCCGTGTCCGTGTCCGTGTCCGTGTCCGTGTCCGTGTCCGTGTCCGTGTCCGTGTCCGTGTCCGTGTCCGTGTCCGTGTCCGTGTCCGTGTCCGTGTCCGTGGGGCGCGGGGCGGGGCTTGTCGTGGGGCTTG